GTTTGGTATTACTAATTTTTACTGGAGCCTTCCTAGAGTCCTTTGAATGAGGTTGGGGTAGAAACTGCTTTTCAAAACACCACAATGCTAACTCCACTGGGCCACAGTGCATTTTAGTCTTAAAAAAAAAAAGCATGGGATTTTTAAATTCAATGGCTCCAGTCCATAGATACAGAGCCTACTGATGCAAAGGGGCTTCAAAATTTCCTTCTCAAAGCCAATGGCAAAACCTCACTAGCAACCACCAAACGCCTCTCAGCATCTGGCCTGCCCAGAGCTACAGGTCACTCTGGCCACTGGAAAGCATTGCCAGTTGAGATATTTTTAAATTGTACCCATAACAAGAAGAAGATGAAAAAGATGAAGAAGACAAAGAGATTGGATTTATATCCCGCCCTTCACTCAAGAGTCTCAGAGCAGCTTATAAACTCCTTTCCCTTCCCCTCCCCACAACAGACACACTGTGAGGTAGGCGAGGCTGAGAGAGCTCTGACAGAAACTGCTCTTTTTCAAGGACAGCTCTGACAGAACTATGGCTTGCCCAAGGTCATCCAGCAGGTGCAAGTGGAGGAGTAGGGAATCAAATCTCCCAGATTAGAGTCCGCACACTTAACCACTACACCAAACAATGCTACGCAACCCAATCAGGCTTACAGTTAAAAAAAATATTATATTTATACTCCATCACTCCAGTGTGCTATTTTATTTTTGACAAACAGGTGTGAGTGTGATTCTTCTCTTGCTTTCCTGGAATACAGCACTTCCATTAAGCTGCCTTCTACGAATGCTAAAAAATCCTGCCCCTGCCTCCGCTAAGCTGGCTGCCGCTTTCTGGTTCTCTGTTTCACTTCCTTTCTTGCCAACAGACCAAAAAACACTGTGGTAAAATTAACAATGACGCATTTAATAATTCTATGAGCATCAATTTGTGAAGCTATTAATCTTAAAATATGCTAAAAGAATTCAGGCATAGGCAAAGTCCAACATAATCATATCCTCGAAGAGCACACCGGTTTTTACACTGGTTTTAGTTGTTAGACTGGATGTTATATCAGTTGGACTGACAATGCTCTCCAGTTCTCATGCTGGAAACCAACTCAAGGAACTTACTGATAGATTCCAAGCAGCTGCATGTTGTTATACTTCTCTCTTAAAGTCCATTAAAAGAAGGCTTTTAGCCAGATAGATAACAATACTGAAATGCTACTCCCTAATAGAGAGCTACTAGCCAACAACATGAGTCAGAAAGCAAATGCCAGCCAATTCAAAGTAGGCCTGTTGCCACAAAAAAAATTTGGACTGGTTGCTTCGTCTAGAAATTTAGTAATTGGCTTGCTCCTATTCAAGTACTTGCAATGAAACTGAAAGTAAGTCTAAGACTATTTTAGTTAAAAATCATAACAAAACTATTCCATTCAGCTTCATGTCTTTCTCCACTCCTTATAACGATGCTTTTTTCAGGAGAATTTGACTAAGAAGAAAACAAATAAGAAGCTATACTGTTTTTAAAAAAGAAACTAAGCTGAATCAAGAGGTTGACATCTTCCAACTTTATAAGACTTCTTACTCATGAGGAAGATTGGTGAAATGAGTGTAAAAACCGGTGTGCTCATTGAGGATATGATGCTGGACTTTGCTTTGCCTATGCCTGAATTCTTTTACCATATTGTAAGATTAATAGCTTCACAAATGATGCTCATAGAATTATTAAATGTGTCATTGTTAATTTTACCACAGTGGTTTTTGGTCTGTTGGCATGTATCTGCACACTGTGACCCCTTCTCTGGCTTTTCTGACTTCACATCCTTTCTTGGCAGCTAGAACTTCCATGCTTCTTGGGATAACTAGCTACTAAGAAAGGAAGCGGTGGCCTTTCAGTAAGACTTCCTTCCCCTTCCTGTGCCTGCTGGAGGAGCCTTCAGAGTTCAACAGGCAGAGCTCTCCATTGACTGGGCTGCTTTCACATGGGCAGGACAATAAGATAGACTATTGGGCAGGGGTCCCCAACATGGTGCCCGTGGGGATTTGACTGGCTGTGCAGATTCTTTCAAATGTTGCTTTGGCAGCAGCTGTAACCACACCACAAGGATCTCCTCTGTGTGACTGAAGTTAAGCTGTGGCAGCCATTTTGTGGTCGGCTCTGCTTCCTGTGGCAGCCATTTTGTGACAGCCATTTTGTTGCTTCACCCACCATGCCGTGTCAGAATTCCAAATGCGCCCCCAGGCTCAAAAACGTTATGGAAGACACCAGCCCTACTCTTGAGGCCCACCTATGCAAGGGTTCCAGTATTTGCTTCCCAACCCTCACGCAAGCATTACCCACCTTAGCACACTGACCATAAAGACAATCTCCTTCTTGGGCGGTTTTAAAACAGAGGCCGGATGGCCATCTGGCAGCGTTGCTGATTGCCTAGCTCTTTTTCTACGAAACGACCCGTTCCCAACCCTCACACAAGCATTACCCACCTTAGCACACTGACCATAAAGACAATCTCCTTCTTGGGCGGTTTTAAAACAGAGGCCGGATGGCCATCTGGCAGCGATGCTGATTGTGTGAATGTAGGCAGATCGTGAGAGGGAGGGCAGGAAGGGTTGCCTCAGTGCTTAGTTCTTGTGGCCCTTTCTTACACGCCCAGGGAAATGACCCCCACATTGGGGTCAGGAAGCGATTTTTCTCCAGGCCAGTTTGGCCAGGGATCCTGGAAGTTTTTTGTCACCTTCTGGGTGTGGACTAGCACTCACCGGGTGTGTGTGTGTGGGGGGAAGTATTTGTGAATTTCCTGCAATGTGCAGGGGGTCGGACTAGATGACACTGGAGGTCCCTTTCAACTCCATGATTCTAGGTGGATGCGCTACCAGCCCACTTACTGAATCACATCGCCCAGCTCGTCGAAACTCCGAGGTACGTAAACACCCACTTCTTTCAGAGCTTTGTTCTTGGCCACTGCCGTTTCGGATGCCTGATTGGCACAAGCTCCTGCATGGCCAAACTGAACCTGTTAAATGAGAAGCAGGAAAAGATCTTTCGCAAGGCTTGGAGTCTTAGTAACTGAATTAAAATCCATATTCTGTTTGCACCCAGAATTATGCAAGGACATGATGATGCAAATCCATTGTCCACTAGCCCTGCTTCTTGGGCCTCCAAGACTAAAGTGTTCATAGACCACAGATGGAAGCAAGACCAGTGGAACTGTGCTCAGGGGCTGCATGCAGAGGCTGAGATTATATGACAAGTAAAGTTATCATACAGTTAGTTATACCGAGGTGTTGCTGGCAACCAAGATCAAGATAATTCATGCCACAGTATTCCCCATTACTGCTGGTGCTTTCACACACGCTAAATAATGCAGTTTCAATCCACTTCAGTGATCGTTTGCAGGTGGGCTTTGCCATTCCACACAGTAAAATCCAGTTGCAAAGAGCACTGAATGTGGATTGAAAGTGCATTATTTAGTGTGTGTGACAGCACCCATTATGTAGGATAAAGAAGAAAGTGGACAGGAAGAAAGTTGATTCCTTTGAAATAGGGTGTTGGGGGGGAAGAGTTTTACGGGTACCACAGACTGCCCAAAAGACAAACCAGCGGGTTCTAGAACAAATCACACCTGAACTCTCCCTAGAAGCTAAAATGATTAAACTGAGGCTCTTGTACTTTGGTCCCATTCAAAGAAGACAAGAGTCCCTTGAAAAGACAATAACGGCAGGAAAAGCTGAAGGCAGCAGGAAAAGAGGAAGGCCCAACCTGAGATGGATGGACTCCATCAAGAAAGCCACAAAGGCCCTCAGTCTGCAAGACCTGAGTAAGGCTACTGACGATAGGACGTTTTGGAGAAATGACTTGACAGCACTTAACACAAACACACACACAAAGAGGTCATACAGGAAGAATTAAAATCCACTGGAGACTGACAGAGAGCATTGGTCTGAGAACACAGGAGGGAACACAGGAATCCGCCTTATACTGAATCAGACTGTTGGTCCATCAAGGTCAGTATTGTCTACTCAGACTGGCAGCGGCTCTCCAGAGGTCTCTCCCATCACCTGCCACCTATTCCTCCTTAACTGGAGATGCCGGGGATTGAACCTGGGGCCTTCTGCATACTAAGCAGATGCTCTAGCACTGAGCCACAGAGGATGTGACAAAATGGGACTGCACCACTCTACACCAAAGGTGGAGGATCACAATTTGGATAAAGAAAGCCAGCACAGTAAGCAAGGGGCGGGGGAGAGAGGAAGACTTGTCTTCTTGCTGCGCTAGTTTTCCATTGGCATGGAGTTTGTTCCTTTGCATAAAAACCAGAACCCGCCACCTGCATCCATTCTAACAGCTCATTCTCTGGCACGCATAAGCCAAATCGAAGAGCAAGGTGGCGGAGGGAGGCAGGAAGGGAGCTTGCGGGGGGGGGGGGTACAGGGCAGAGAGGAACAGCCCAAGCAGCCAGGTACGGTAGGGGTGCATATTCACCTGGCACTGACCGAAGGAGAGAGACTCAGTGCTAGTTTCAGTCTAAAGTGACTATTTCCACCGAATCATGTCATTCCTAAGTCCTGTTCTGCCTGGATCCAGCACTATCATTTGACCTTGTTTCCTTACAGAGCATCCAGCAGTCCCTGAAAGCTTCCCCTTCGTTGCATCCAGGAGTTTTGTCACTAATGTAAAGATTCACCCTGACCTGACTAGCCCAGCCTAGCCTGATCCTTGTGAGATCTCAGAAGCGAAGCCGGGTTGGCCCAATTTAGTACTTGGATGTGAGAATGCCAGAGAAGACCAGGGTTGATACGCAGAGGTAGGCAACGGCAAAACCACCTCTGAATGTCTCTTGCCTTAAAAACCTTACAGGGTTGCTGTAGGTCGGGTTCGCCTTGACGGCACTTTCCACCAGCAAAGATTTTAAAAGCCTTTAATTTCTTATTTGAAAGTCCAGGATCTGGCAGCTATTAATACACTCGGTCACACATTCAACCACCTATCAAGCAGCCCTCCTCGTTATTCCATAGGCCTTTACCTCTGAGGAGAACATGGTTGCACACGTCCCAATGCACCAGCAGACGACAGGCTTAGTGATCCGGCCTTCTTTAACCCCCCTGCAAATCTTGTACTCCTCGGTTCCTCCGATCTAGGGAAAGGAGACAAAGGTAACCCGATGAAACCAATCACATCCACAAACAGGAGGGGCAAGTTTGGATCGAAGGGTAACAGTGGTGTCACTAAGGAAGCCCAAGGTTACAACTGGACACGTTCTGTTTCTTCCATTTGAAATTTGCGTGCTAGTTTTCCAAGAAATGAGACCAAAGAATTAACAAAAGAAGAATCCCGACTGCTCCTCTGGATTTGCAAAGAAAAAGCATCCACAGGTAGGTATTTCCCCCCCAAAATGAACAGGCAAAACAAGAACATTTCCTTCTTAAAGAATGCAATAATGCTACTGCCAAGCCTCTATAGAAAAGCAACATTGCAGGAGCGCGGTTCAGGGGCTGGGGGCTGGTTAACTCTGCCCTCGAAGACTTCCTGGAAGCTGCAGTTGGCACAGAATGCTGCGGCCAGAGTGCTGACCGGTGTGGGTCATCACTCCAATCTTGTTTAATCCACACTGGCTTCCAATTTGCTTCCAGGCTCAATTCAAGCTGCTGGTATTGACCTTTAAATCCCCATACAGCTACGACCAACGTACCTTAAGGAACGCCTTCTCCCCTGTGAACCTGCCTGTTCACTCCAGTCATCTGTGGAGACCCTGCTTTGGTTGCCCCCCACCTCCTGAGGCTATACAGGTGGTGACCTGAGAAAAGGCCTTCTCTGTTGTGGCACCAAAATTCTGAAACTCCCTTCCTCAGGAAGATTTATCTGTCTCCCTCTATCAATGTCTTCTGTTTTGTTTGGTATACCCCCCCCCCCAAAATAATGGTTATTGTCTTTTCTCCTTGAACACAAGCTTAGGAGCATGGACTCTAATCTGGGAGAACCGGGTTTGATTCCCCACTTCTCTATGTGCAGCTGCTGGTGTGACCTTGGGTCAGACACAAGTTCTCTCAGAGCTGTTCTCTCAAAGGCAGTCCTTGAAAGAGCGCTCTCAGCACTACCTGTTGTGGGGAGGGGAAGGGAAAGGAGATTGTAAGCTGCTCTGAGACTCTGCGTGAAGAACGGGGTATAAATTAAATCTCTTCTTCTTCCTCTTCCCTGATTCTAGTGTTCATGTATTTTCATTGAATTATTTTATAATTTTAAATGTTGTTCTTAATTGTTCAATTGTTGTAATTATTTTATGTTTGCTGCCTTGGGGACCCTGGTTGAGGGAAAAGGTGGCATAAAAATGCCTTAAATAAAACAATTAAAAAGTTTGACTTTAGTGCAAGCAGCTACTGTAGTCTGTTTCTCTAGCACAAGCAGAATTTTTGTGCTGGATCCAACCTGTATTCTTCCCAAAAGACAGAAAGATGCAGGGGTCATTTCCTCCCGGAGCGCCCTGGAGTAGTGCTCCGGCAGAAAGGAGCCCAGGCCCCGCCCCCTGAGACACTCAGGGAGGGGGGATTTAAATCCCTGGTTTCCCTGCCCGACCTTCTCCAGGTGCCCCGCAGCTGTGGGGCACCTGGAGAAGATCGGGCATGGAGCCAGACATGCCCGCCTTCCCCCCTGAGCCTCTCTGTTTTTGCGGAGACTCGGGAGGGAGGGATTTAAATTCATTTGCATAACTCATTTTAAACACGCCCGCCCTTTGTCAGGGGGTGTGGCATATGCAAATGAGTTATGCAAATGAGCTCATGCGCCTCTTTTTCTAGGAAATGACCCCTGGAAAGATGGAACACAAGATACTCACTTCTCCTAGCACCACTATCATCTTCACCCCTGGAGTGTCCTGGTAGCGTAAAACATGATCCATAAAAGTAGAACCAGGGTATCTAGGAAGAAGGGGACAAAAAAAATCTGTTGGGTGCTGGTGATGTTTAAAGATACTGCACAGGGAAGCAATATTAGACACTGAAGTAGAAACAGTCCATTCCCTCCTGCCTCAGCTCTAGAGATGGGGGGAGACCATAGCTTAGTGGCTGGACATGTGTGTTGTACACAGAAGGACAGTGGTACCTCCAGACCCTTGCCTAAGACATTGCAGTGCTTCTGGTCTCTACTGAATTGGGAGGGGTAGCAAATACAGTAGAAGACAGAGTCAGGATACAGGATGATCTTGACAGGCTGGAAAACTTGGCTAAAACAAATAAAATGCATCTCAATGGGGATAAATGTCAAGTTCTGCATTTAGGTAGGAAAAATCAAATGCATAGTTATAGGATGGGGGAGACTTGTCTTGGCAGTAGTATGTGTGATCTAGGGGTCTTAGTATACCATACACTGAACATGAGTCAGCAGTGTGATGCAGCAGCTAAAAAGGCAAATGCCATTTTGGGCTGTATCAACAGACGTATAGTGGCCAGATCACGTGAAGTGATAATATCGCTTTACTCTGCTTTGGTTAGACCATACCTAGAGTACTGTGTTCAGTTTTGGGCACCACAATTTAAGAAGGATATAGACAAGCTGGAAGGTGTTCAGAGAAGAGCAACGAAAATGGTGAGGGGTCTGGAGAGACCAAGTCCTATGAGGAAAGGTTGAAGGAGCTGGGTATGTTTAGCCTGGAGAGAAAACGACTGAGAGGTGATATGATAACCATCTTCAAGGGCTTGAACGGCTGTCATATAGAGGATAGTGTGGAGTTGTTTTCTGTTGCCCCAGAAGGTTTGACCGGAACCAGTGGGTTAAAATTAAAGCAAAAGAATTTTCAGCTAAACATTAGGAAGAACTTCCTGACAGTTTGAGTGGTTCCTCGGTGGAACAGGCTTCCTCGGGAGGTGGTGGGCTCTCCTCCTTTGGAGATTTTCAGACAGAGGCTAGATGGCCATCTGACAGCAATGCTGATTCCGTGAACTGCAGATCATGAGAGGGAGGGCAGGAAGGGCTGCATCAGTGCTTAGGTCTTGTGGTCCTTTCTTACACGCCCATGGAAGTGCTGATTGCCACTTTGGGGTCAGGAAGCAATTGTTCTCCAAGCCAGTTTGGCCAGGGATCCTGGAGGGTTTTTTTGCCATGTTCTGGGCATGGAGCACTGGGGGTGTAAGGAGGAGGTAGTTGTGAATTTCCTGCATTGTGCAGGGGGTTGGACTAGATGGCCCTGGGGTCCCTTCCAAGTCTATGATTTTATGATTCTAGGCAAGCAGATTCAATTGTCTGATACAAGACAGCTTCATATGTTCACATGTATCCTCCCCTCTGACTTAGGAGTTGTTGACATTTTTCTCCGAACTCTGGAAAGGCACCCTACATTCTCCATTTGAGGTCACAGCCTATGAACTCTTGCACATTCTCAAATTGGAAACAAAATGTTAATATTAGCTTTGTGCAGGTTAGAAACTGAGCTCAAACACAACAGAGGTTTCCAAACCGGTATGCTAGACATAGGATAACACCATGTTCCCATTAATCTCCTCACCTGTCGCCACCAATGGCTACTCCTTCAAAGACCCCATCTGTGGTCCTGGAGATGATGTTGTTGAGCTCGTTGGACATCCCTCCTGAACGAGAAACGTAGGCTACGCTGCCAGGGCGGTACAGCTTAGATGCCAAGATATTATCCAGCATTCCACCGGTGTTTCCAATCTTAAAACAGCCTGGCTTGATCCCACCTACCTGTAAATGAAGACAGGGAGCTCAAATATCAAGTCCTCTGTAGTTCACAGTGTTCAGAATTATTTACACAACACACAAGACTCGTGAGCCAGACCAGGATTAATTGCTGGTCACCCTTTCACAGCGACACCCTCATTTTAATGCCCCATCTCAAGACAGGTGTTCAGCCAGAGCATCCATATAGCTCTACTAAATCGAGCGAGAGATCCGTCAACTGAAAGCAGAATGAAAGCCACAGTGCACTTGAGTCTTGTCTACCAGTTAAGTCCTTCTCTAGCCATAAAAAAATGAAAAACCGTCTGTGACGTCCTCCTTATTAGGGAGGACTGGTTTTCACTTTAAAAGTTCTTTTTATTTTGTTTAACAGGGTATATTTGCCTGCCACCAGGAAATTTTAAGGATTTCCAAACCTTTATGCTTTTACTGTTGCTCTTTTTAGTTTGGTAGACCGAGTTCAAGGCTTACGAGGAACTATGTGGTCCTGGGAAGTATTTCTTTGAGAGCTGGTATATTTGAATGAAAGAGGTTTTATTGAATTAAATCATAAATAAGAGGGTAGTACAATGTAACTAGTAATGTGTAAATAATGAACAATTGCTTGGGGGATCACGCACAATTTTCTCCCTCACTGACAGGGACCTTTTCATGTAACACTTCTGTAACTTTGTAACACTTGTTTATCTCAAGACCATATACATTCACTATTTCCTTCCAGTCTGTTATGACACACAGACGTTCCTATAACTTTTCTTCACTTAAACTTTACTTTTTTCCCTAGACACTCAGCTTTCAGATCTCTTTTCCTTTCTCACTGAACAACCTCCGCTGTCCTTATAACTGCTTCAACACAGAACTGTCTGAACATATCAACTGTAAACTTGTAACTGAAACTCCTGACTGACACACATACTCATCCATTCAGATTCAATTCCAAAACCCCTCCCCCTCTCTGTCAACCACCAATCATACCACACTTGCATCTCTCAACCACTCTAGTCTACCTACCACAGTCATGCAACCAAACTTTTAAAGAGACACACACACACACCAAAAACAAGGAATCATTACACCGTCTCTCACCGTTGCGGGTCCAATAATCGTAACTCCCTTCTCATTTGCTGTCTTGATCAGTCTGCGGGTCAGCGCCTCTGGGATACCTTCAGCAATGATAGCCACGGTACGGATCTGTAGCCGAAAGAGAAGAAACAGTCAGTCTGTCTTTCCTCTGGATACAGCAAGAGTCAAGGCCCCCAATCGGTGGGGACGGATGCAGCATCTCCTTAGATGCTAAAAGAAGGTCTGTGTGTATTCTGTGCAACCAGGTAATCTATATTACCTATAGTAATCTATATTCTGCATTAGCTGAATTCCGCAACCTACCTTAACACTGCAGAATGAGCCACTTTGCAAGATGTCTCCCATCTGACATAATTTAATCCCCATTTTAGCAGCTAGGGTGGGAGGGGAAGGAGGACAAGGAAGTGGAGAGTGATGGGTCCCGGCTCAGCCGAGGCTGACTATTCCTCAGCCGAGGAAGAGGCACAGAGCAACCCAGCCTCCTCCGGAGTCAGCTCCCAAGAGGAACCTCTGCCAGCACCTGAGCGAGGAGAGGCTCCAGCATCTGAGGTGCAGTCGGAGGAAGAGCCTGACCCAGCACCCCGAGTGGGAGACACCTCGAGGCCAGAGTCCCCAAGCAGCTCACCTGATTGTCCCGGACGCAGGGCACGCCAGCGTCTGGAGGCGCGGGAGAGACGGAGGAGTGCCAGACTTCAGCTGTTGCAAAGGCAACGTGAGGGGCCGTGAGCGCAAGTCACCTCCCAGGGAAGGGAGGATCGGAGTATAAGGGACCACGCTCACCTGCCTCGGTGCGGATGCAACCGTGCAATCTCGGACCTGGTCCCGGCTGCTAGCCTCCGCTCTTTGCTCCTGAGAACTCTGACGGATTTCCTGGCATTCTGACCCTTGGCACAGCTTCTCGGCTTGCTTTTGGACTGCGTATCTAGCTTCAGTGAAGTATATTTGTGGTGCACGGCCAGAACCAGCACACAGAGGCCCTATACTCGAACCACTGAAAATCTTACTTGGCTACCTCTCTGGACTTCTGGGATTCCAGGAGACATGGACAACTCACTGCTCTGGTCCAAACAACATGGAAGCAGAATGCCAAGCCATGGTTTGACAACCAAGGATACTCTGTGGGGTTTTGTGGCCCTCCCTCTCTCCCCGTGGACTCTACCTTCCTCCCTACTTTCCTGATTCTTGTTAACTGTGATTCAGTATTCTGGTTATGTAGGTTTGAACATAACTGACACAAACCTTTAAAACCAGAGATTCAGAAGCTAGGTTCTAATTACAGTTACCACCCTCCTCCTTTATGTTCAGTTCAGTTTATTTTGATACATGGTGTCACGGCTCAGGTGGGGTGTCACCTGACGCTGCCACCACTCTGGATTTAGGATCCCTTGAGAAGGCCCAGAGCACCCTCCCAAGACCTTCAGACCTCCCTTTTGGCCGAATAATAGGCGTGAGGACCGGGCAGAGTACAACAAGGAAAAGGTTTATTTTATAGGAGGTCAAACAACAAGGTGCAGAATAATAACAGTAAGTGAGTGAAAAGAAATCAAATGCCCTTACTTGTCTAAATATACTGTCCCTAGCTCACTATCCGCAGTGGCTTTAGACTACTCACCCTTCCCTCAGGATGAGTGTTTCTTCCCTGCAGCAGCCTTCCTTCTGGCTCTGCCCTTTGGGAAGAGGAACAGCTTTTCCTGCTGCTCCAGATCTTTTATTCCAAGCCCTCCTCTTTTCCTATTGGTCAATTTTGGCTCCAAAATCTCTCAGGGGCTTCTGGGAGTTTTAGACCCAGCCTCACCTACTGCTAGCCAGGCTCCCTGGGCCTAGTAGGCCTCTGGTGGCACAGCCCAGATCATGACACATGGTCAACTCGAAAAGTATTAATAAAAACAAGTTTAAAACTGCCATGTACAATACCAAGACCAACAAAAAAGACTTCTATGTGCCACTATAACCCAACATTTCAAAATTCTTGCATGCATTTCACAAAGGGGGGGGGGGTTAGTTATTTGAAGACTCAACCATGAGGCCGTTATACAAAACTTTGTTACGAGTCATTTCTTTAGAGTAATATGAAAGGAGGAGGGAAGTGTAGAATTGCTCTGGTCTTCCTGGGGGAATTTATTAAAATCAGTGTAATATATTAGGAAGGTATATCATTATAGAAAAATTGGGATTTATATCCTGCCCTTCACGCAGAGTTTCAGAACACCTTACAAACTCCTTTCCCTTCCCCTCCCGACAACAGACACCCTGTGAGGTAGGCGGGGCTGAGAGAGCTCTAACAGAAACTGCTCTTTTTCAAGAACAGCTCTTGTCAGAACTAAGGCTTGCCCAAGGTCATCCAGCCAGGTGCAAGTGGAGGAGTGGGGAATCAAACCCGGTTCTCCCAGATTAGAGTCCGCGCACTTAACCACTACATCAAACTTGGCTCTTATAGTAGGGACATCACAATAATATGAGATCAACTGTCTCAATCGTTCCCATTTGACAAGGGCAAACCCATCGGGAATAAGGAATGTGAGGAGATCTGCCTTTCGGAAAAGCTGAGGGCAAGGCATTGAAACGTACCAAGGGGAAGGTTCTCCGGTATTTAGGAATCTCTAAGGCAGTTAGATAGTCTGCCGGAAAAAGGCTCTTAGTATGCTTTGTTGCAGCTCTTCCCTTATGTAAGAAACAAGCTTCCTACCACATTCTAGGTGCTCTAACAGAATATAGTCACAAACCTGCTCAATGCCTGGGTGCAGCTACACTGGCTTGGATACAGGCTGAAGCCACTGTTAACAGTGAGCAAGGGGGAAAGGGAGGGGAAAGGCTGGGGTGGGGTGAAAGGGCAGAATCTAAGGACAGCACCGTGCAGTGGCACAGTTTGGAAACTGCTTGGATATGGGACAGGTGGGAGAAATACAACCATACATTGCAAGCCCACAGAACAGGAACAAGCCTGTTTTCATGGCTGACTGTGGATTCTGCCCAAAGGGGAAAGACTCTCCTCTACCAATGCTTCCTCTAAGCTGTGGCGTCTTGTGAGCCAAAATTCTGCTTTGTGAGCTACTGGCATTAAAGCTGTGAGTGAGCGATTTGGCTGCTGCATAAACTAGTTAGCTCTGAAGCCCTCCTTCCTGAGCTAAAACAAAAATGTGTGAGCTGGAGGCTAAAAAACTGTGAGGTAGCTCACACTAACTCAGCTTAGAGGGAACACTGCTTCTACACTCCTTCCAAAATACAGGGTATATGCCTAGCTCGCAGGGCTGAAGCTTGAAAATGCAATGACAAGAGTTTTACAAGGGAAGGGAAAGAAAGCAAAATGCTCCCTCAAAGCTGTGGAGTCTTGTGAGCAAAAATCCTGCTTTGTGAGCTCCTGGCATTAAAGCTGTGAGCGAGCGATATGGCTACTGCATAAATTAGTTCGCTCTGGAGCCCTCCTTCCTGAGTGAAGACAAAAATGTGTGAGCCAGAGGCTAAAAAACTGTGAGGTAGCTTACACTAACTCAGCTTAGAGGGAACACTTCTTCCAACATTTTTCACATATCTTTTTGCCTCCCCCTCAACCCCCCACTAGGGGTACTATAAACTTTTCGTGAAACAGATAAACAGGGAAAGAAGCGGGTTTGGTTTCAGGGGTTCTGAATGGGATCGCCACCGGGCCTCTCTGCACCTAGGTTCCACCTGCCCCACAAACCTGTGGGTAGTTCATGGTCTCCATGGTGCTGTCGTAGGCGGAGCGAAGGGATGCGAAGTTGATCAGCACGTCCACTTCCGGGTGCTTTCTCATGGCGTCTGCCATGTTCTTGAAGACCGGGATCAGGATCTCTTTGTGGCCCCAGTAGAACTTCTGTTTGTGGTCACCACTAGGAGTAAAAACAAACCAAATGCATTTCTTTGCAACGGAGAGACAGGGACATCCATAGGACCCTAATCCCATGTTTCTAGTGAGTCTTTTAATAGTATTTCCTTATTTTCCACATAAGACATATAGACATAAATACAGACATACAGATTATACCGATACATAGAAAAACTTTGCCTTGTTTACGTTATTCATTACTTGCCAATAAACCGTCTCATTACTGTAACATCTCTTTTTTTACAGGATCGTATAGCTTTATAAATATCTTTCCTCAAGTTTCTAATTAATTGTATTTTTTGACATATCATCGTTTTCAATCCAGGTATAGAACCTTGACCCTGTTTTCCCAAATAGATCTTCTCTTTGATTTTTCTAAAATAAAGTCGGCTTATCTGTTTCTGCTGTTTCCAGTATTTTGTTGATGATTTCGCTTCTGGGTGGTATTTCTGTTCTCTTCCAGTATTTAACAAACAACATGTTTCTGGTTTTTGCAACACAGGGCTGGCCTCCTATCATTGTCAGGTAGCACTGTCATGGGTCTGGAATGTGGAGGGGTGCCTTCCTGTTTTCTGTCTCAGCTCTCTCTGGCTCACCAACTGTTTGCTATCCTACGCTTGACCTTGTAGATGCTCCAGCTGCAGTTTACTCAGCTGGGAAAGTTAACGGCTTTTTTGCTTTGCCTGCTTGCTTTGCCCGCACGCACGAGATGTATCCATTGGCTCATGCTTACATGGGGGGGGGATGTTTGATTTTAGTATAAGTCAGAGGCCAAAGTGCTGATGGCCATTCCTGACACAAGCTGTACATGTGTCTTTAGTCCTGGATCTATCAATAAACAGTTACCTTCTCATGAAGCCCTGTGTTGCGTGACCTGACTAAGGACCCTGACAATCATGGCCGGCCTTCTCAACAGGGTCTCTGTCTAAAAGACCACTAGTCAGCACTTCTGGTGCAGCAGCACTGCAGGGACACCAACAGCAGGTTGGGGACATTCCTGGGGATTTGCGGGGTAGAGCTGGGGAGGGCAGGGAGCTCAGTGGGGTACAATGCCCTACCTCCTGCCCACCCTCCAAAGCAGCTGTCTCCTCCAGGGGAATAGATCCCTGTAATCTGGAGATCACCTGGAACTCCAGGAAATTGTCAGGTCCCACCTGGAGGCTGTAGTTCAGCAATAAGGATTCACAGCGTAGGGGTATATGTCAAAGAATCGCTATGAAAATGGCTACAACTATACAAAGGTATTTATGAGAATAATATATCGAATTGTCGTTGCATACAATCCACAATATCACAATAAGAAGCGTATAAATCTGCCGCTAACCAAACAAAAGATAGCACAGTCTCTAATTGTTGCTGACACTAATAAAAATCCCATCACAGGGCACCAAGCTTAAATAGAATAATCTCAGCCGAGAACAGGCTTGGAAGACGTCTCGACGGACATAATCTGGGGGATTTTTATTAGTGTCAGCAACAATAAGAGACTGTGCTATCTTTTGTTTGATTAGTGTACATGCTTCTTATTGTGATATTCTGGACTATATGCAACGACAATTTGATATATTATTCTAGTAAATATTGTTTGCATAGTTGTAGCCGTTTTCGTAGCGATTCTTTGATGTAACCACTGGGAGGGCTGCCAACCGCAAGCAGCAGGTGGGAGTGTCCTTATTTGCTTGGTTCACACACCTGTACCCTGCCCGTCAGCCAGAAAACTGGTTCCCAGTTTGGAACTGGTCCCTTTTCCCAACCTTGCTTTAGACCTACTTCTCCCTGAGGTGGTAACCCTGTGTCTAGATTGTATCCTGAAGTGAGGAGGAGCATTCAGTCACGTGTGTCAACTCCTACAGTCTGGACACACATGACCGAACGCTCCTCTATTTATTTATTTTTAATCCTGCAAAAAGAAAGCTATCTTGTCAGGGAAATGAGCCATAGAACCCATAGTTCTCTGCGGCTGCTTTCACACACCTTGGATAATGCACTTTAGCAAACACTTGCAACTGGATTTCCCTGTGTAAAACAGTCACAAATGACGCTAAAATGCACTGAGAAACCGCCCAAAGCCTCCTTGCAGGGTGGGAGATTCATCAATTTAAATAAATAAATAAAAAATAGCAGTGCAACAAAGTAGAGTAAATCGCAAACTAATTAAGGAAGAAGCAGTTTGAAGCACAGCAGAATCAACTGACATCAGTCAAGGAGTGTGGCATGATTCAATATGGAAAAGAACAGTCTATTAAATTATCTTAAAAAGTGGGTCTTCTTCAGTTATTAGAAATTATAACAAGTGAGGAAATAAAGTCTTGGTTTAAGTCGGGGCGACAGAAAGTGTTCAATTTCTTGCTGAAGTAGAAACTGGCAGTGGTGCAGACTGACGCTCCCTCTAAGCAGTGGAGTCAATCGAGATGGACACAGGAGGAGAGCACTGACAGGGGGTGGGGACCAATGCTCCCTCTAAGCTGTGGAGTCCTGTGAGCAAAACTTCCACTTTGTGAGCTCCTGGCATTAAAGTTGTGAACGAGCGATTTGGCTGCTGCATAAATTAGTTTGCTCTGGGGCCCTCCTTCCTGAGCGAAGACAAAAACGAGTGAGCTGGAGGTTAAAAAACTGTGAGCTAGCTCACACTGACTCAGTTTAGAAGGAACACTGGTGCAGACAGTAAGGGGAGGATGTAGGTGTAACAGATGTGATGCAGGGAAAGGAGGAGGGCTAAATTGAGCCCTGGAAAGAGGAGGAGGAGATTGGATTTATACCCCACCCTTCACTACCCGAAGGTGTCTCAGAGCAATGTACAAACTCCTTTCCCTTCCCCTCCCCACAACAGACACCCTGTGAGGTAGGTGGGGCTGAGAGAGCTCTGACAGAAACTGCTCTTTTTCAAGAACAGCTGTGCCAGAACTATGGCTTGCCCAAGGTCATCCAGCCAGGTGCAAGTGGAGGAGTGGGGAATTAAACTCGGTTCTCCCAGATTAGAGTCCGCGCACTTAACCACTGCACCAAACTGGTCAAAAGAGACACACAGGAGTACAAGCAGAACAGAAAACGTGTTTCCTCTGTACCATCTTAGCTGTACTGTTCCACATGCATTATATTCCCACTGGTATTACTATCCGGAGCACCTGCACCGTATCAAGGCTACCTATTCCCCACCGTGCTGGAAAAATTGCGGGAACATTGGTGACTATTTACACTGCTGGTGGGGTTGCCCTCAAATACGGAAATTCTGGAAGGAGGTGACTAAGGAAATATCCAAAATGACATCACAGAGAACCCTACTTGAACCGGAAAATGTCCTTCTACAAGGGTCATTTCCTGCACGAGAGCACCGGAAGAAACCCTCTCAAGCTTAACAACGATCCTACGCTCAGCAGCTAAGCTCACTATTGCCTCAATTTGGAAGTCAACCAAAGCGCCAACACTGGATGTGTGGAGAAATAAAGTTTGGGAACAATTCATTACGGACAAAATCAGCTCCACACTGGTCACCAGTCAGCTGGGGTCATACAAGACGCATTCCAACTTTGTACGGACATGGCTCCCCTTCCTACAATACATGTCGAACAATGATCTTTTACCAAGTGATCTGCATGTTCCTCCCCCCCAATAGCTAGCAATCCAAAGCAGTCCAGTGAAGCCTGAGGGATGGGTGTTGCCTTCTGACACACTTCCGGTGATGTCAGGGTGTGTGACATATGCAAATAAGTTATGCTAATGAGTTATGCTAATCATCTCCTGCACCTCTTTTTCAACGAATTCACCACTGCTTTTATGTAATGTTTGGTATGTATGTTTGACATTTATTAAATTATTTTTTTAAAAAAAGTTGGCAGGAAGAGATGGGAAAGCGCCACAGGGGTAGCCTCAAATAGGATCCCACAAACGTACGTGAACGGATAGACCATGGCGGCCACCGAAGGCTCGTCTCTGGAGCAGGTGTAGTCAAAGTCCAGCATCCCTTGCACGGCCCGGGTCTGCATCCCCCACACAATCGCTTTGGTGTGACGGCTGAACAAGGTCGTGGCTTTACCTGCATAGGGGAAAGAACCCCACCCGTCCAGGGTCAGACATTTAACGCACAACGAGGATGCGAACACACAAGCACACAGACACAGCTACAAGAGCCCTCCCTGCCCCAGCACCTTTCTCTGAGTTACAAGGAGGAGCAGACAAACCAGCCAAAATGAAAACAAATTGCTGGAGATGAAGCAGCTGAAAGACACTGGCTTCCTACCAGGAGGACTTCCTTCTTCTCATCCCTGGCTACCCTACATGTAGAAAAGCCGTGTGTGGCTCCGAGCGGCAGCAAAAGAAAAGGAAAATGCTGGTCTTGTGTGCACCATGAAGTCACTTCTGGGGATAAATGGGAAGTGATGTCACATCACTGTACTATATACCCCAGAGAGCACTACGGTCTGGGTCTCAATATCGGTTGACCCTCCCTAGCCCAAGGGAGACCAGGGTAGCTGCTACTAGGGACGGAGCCTTTTCGGTGGCAGACACTACCGGTGGAACGAGCTCCCCGAGGAGATCAGGGCCCTGTGGGACCTCTCACAGTTCTGCAGGGCCTGCAAGATGGAGCTCTTCCACCAGGCATTTAATTAGGGGCCGCCGCCACTGTAGCGCCCGATCCGTAACTGTACCATCGAGCAGCTGCCATAAAAGTTGATGAGCAGAAGAACATCTAAGCACTTTCAGATAGTTGGAAGTCCGCTTGAAAGTATGCCGTCTAAGCAAATCTTTAATTGCTGCCAGCATTTTGCTTTGTACTGTTTTCAACTGTTGTGTTTTAATTATTGTATGTTTTTAGTCTGTATTTATGGCATTTGGAAGCCGCCCTGAGCCTGCTTTGCGGGGAGGGCGGGGTATAAATTTGACAATAAATAAATAAATTCCTAGAGCGACATGAAGTCACGGCACACACAATGTTGGAGCCTTCCATGTCCCTGCCCCTCGAGCTCCAGGTGAAATCTTTAATCATTCTTACACCACACCACAGACAAACAAACCCACCACCACACACCACGAACAAGTGAAAACCGCCACGGAACAACCACCCCTTTCATTAGAGGAGAACAGACAAGAGTGTGGCATGGCACCAGTTGGGGGAAAGAATTTACTTCATTGTTATCACTTTGGGTAGAATTACAGTCCAACATCCATAAGGGGATTAATGAACAAGGAATTTTAATGCCTTAAAATCTCATCTCTAAATTCTAATGAAAAACACATTTCCAGCACTTTAGCTACATTAGGTAAAGGTCAAGGTTTCCCTTGCTCGAAAGCCAGTCAAATCCGACCCTAGGGTTGCGGTGCTCATCTAAGTTTCCAAGCTGAAGAGCCAGCGCTGTCCGAAGATGTTTCTGTGGTCATGTGGCTGGCATGACTAAACGCCGAGGCACACAGAACGCTGTTACCTTCCCACCGAAGCGGTACCTATTTAGTTAAAGGTAAAGGTCTCCCTTGCTCAAAAGCCAGTCGAATCCGACTCTAGGGTTGCGGTGCTCATCTCCGTTTCAAAGCCGAAGAGCCAGCGCTGTCCGAAGACATTTCCATGGTCATGTGGCCGGCATGACTAAACACCAAGGCGCACGGAATGCTGTTATCTTCCCACTGAAGTGGTACCTATTTATCTACTTGCAATGTCTTGCTTTCGAACTGCTAGGTTGGTAGGAGCTGGAACTAGAGATGGAAGCTCACTCCATCATGCGGCACACTCGGGTCTCGAACTGCTGAACTACCGACCTTCCACAGCCTGCAGTTCAGCGTCTTAACCACTTGAGCCACCACAGCTCCTGGTACCTATTTATCTACTTGCAATTTCTTGCTTTCAACATGCTAGGTTGGCAGGAGCTGGGACCAGAGACGGGAGCTCACTCCATCTTGTGGCACTCGGGTCTCGAAGTGCTGAACACTGGATTCCAAAACCTTCCAGCCTGTAGTTCAGCATCTTAACCACTTGATCCACCGCAGCTCCTTTAGCTACATTAAATGCACTTTATTTATTTATTTTATTTATTTATTTATTCGATTTATATCCCGCCCTCCCCGCATGCAGGCTCAGGGCAGCTTACAACATTGGCACATTGCCGATAAAACCATATAACATTATAAAACACCACGATATAGGATTATAAAACATAGAAACATACTAACACCCCCCCACCGCCAACCAAATACTTCATCTCCTTATGCTGGCCACTGAAATAGATAAAACCTTTCGAACTGTGCTGCCAGAAAGACAGAAAAGGGCAGTTTTGCCCACACACCCCTCCCTACTGCGGCCTCCCAACCTGTATAGCTATTAGACCACATGGGTCCCACAATACCAGGCATAAACATTCCAGGGATCGGAAAGGACTGCCAGCGAGAGGGGGACATAGGAAAGATCTGCAATCTTTGGTCAAGGGGCCGCGGTGGCTCAAAGGTTAAGACACTGAGTTGCAGACTGGAAGGTCTGTAGTTCAGCAGTTCGAGACCCGAGTGCCGCGTGACGGAGTGAGCTCCCGTCTCCGGCCCCAGCTCCCGCCAACCTAGCAGTTCGCAAGCAGTTAAATAGGTACCACTTCGGTGGGAAGGTAACAACGTTCCGTGCGCCTCGGCGTTTAGTCACGCCCAGCCACATGACCATGGAAACATCTTTGGACAGAGCTGGCTCCTTGGCTTGGAAACTGAGAAAAGCACCACCCCCTAGAGTCGGATTCGACTGGCTTTCGAGCAAGGGAAACCTTTACCCTTTACGTTTGATCAATACTCCACTAAGGCTAACTGGAGAGGTTTTGCCTAGCCCATGCTGCAGTGCCACAGAAAATGCTGGATGGCCTTTGGGGAGGTATGAAGCACCCAGTGTTCCTATGGGGCTGGCTGGGGAGACACAGCCAGCCTGGGCCTACAATCTAGGGGGCCACGCTCCCCAAGGATTGCTCGCATGAGGTCTTGGTTAGAACAGGAACCGCTCCACCTTCAGTGCAAGCGCTCTAGGGCATTTCCTGAGGAGGTCCACTCTGCTGAGACTCCCCCCCCCCAACTCCATCGTGCTTAGCACCTTATACAAACACAACTCAAGAAGAAGAAGAAGAAAAGGAGATTGGATTTATACCCCGCCCTTCACTACCCAAAGGAGTCTCAGAGTGGCTTACAAACTCCTTTCCCTTCCCCTCCCCACAACAGACACCCTGTGAGGGAGGTGGGGCTGAGAGAGCTCTTGACAGAAACTGCTCTCTTTCAAGGACAGCCCTTATCAGAACTACGGCTTGCCCAAGGTCATCCAGCAGGTGCAAGTGGAGGAGTGGGGAATCAACCCCGGTTCTCCCAGATTAGAGTCCGTGCACTTAACCACTACACCAAACTCGACACTCACCACGCCAATGTGAAGCTTCTACGAAACCACAATCTACTGAAAAATACTGGCGGGGTAGGTAAAGCTTTTTCACCAAAAACCAAAGTCAGAAGGCCAAAAGAACAGAGAAAGAGGCCAGGCAACAGAATTGGTATTTCTTTTCTGTCCGGAGAGCAAAAATCGGAAGTCCAATTCATTACATTCCTAGGACACCCTGCCATGAAGAAGCGCAGGGCAGCTTACACGAGGTTGATCATTCCCTTTTTCATGGGGACAAAAATCCCTGTGTGGCAGCCACGGCCAAGAGATTCAGTTCAAAGCCACACAGTGAGCTTTGTGGCCTAAGCGAGGATTTGAATTCAGGTCTCCACAGTCCACTATACTCACTGTTCACTACACCGTTTGCAGATTTATTTTTGGCTATATTCAGTCAGCAAAATGGCTCACTCTGCAGGAAAAGTTATATTTCTACGGGCCCAATTCATTCCACTAGCCGGAAACCTTCCAACTGGAAATACCTGATAAGCATGGCTTACACTACACTAAGTAAGTGGAGATAACATACAGCTAGAAAAGACAAGTGGGGACCCGCAGTATTTGCCCGGGGTGGGTGGGGTGGGGAATTCCAGCTTAGCTCCCTCATTGCTGGCTCAGTGGAGGGGAGGGAGGGAGGAATGCCGCGCCTGACTCCCTGGGTGACAGCTCGGTGCTGCGCATACGCAGACAATGATTGCTTATTTTGGGGGCAATTTAGACCCCCCCAACATATTTCTGTTAAGATTTTGGATTTTTCTGCAAACCTAGGGGTCCCCCCAAGTTTGCAGGAAAACCTGATTAGCCCTGGTGTGGACCCCGACCTGTGGATTTAGGTATCCACAGATAGGGGCCAGACCTCACTATTTTGGATGGATGGATAGATGATAGGTAGATGATAGATGACAGGTAGATAGATGGTAGATAGATAGGTAGATGATAGATAGACAGATACACGGATAGATAGATTAGGGTCACCTACAGCCTGAATTTCCAAAACCAAACAGAAAGTGGTCACTGGCCTTTACCACACTTTGGATGACATTAGGGGCACTGCCCTACTGTGCTGGACAAATCTCAGTGGCGACTAACTCAGCTTAATATTGTCATGCCAATAAGGATTGCAATGAGACTGTGCAGCATTGGGAGCAGGGGAAAGAGAGAGAGAGAGAGAGTGATGCTCCATTGGCTATTAAGGGCCCTTCAGTGTCCTTTCTGCATTTACAAAGGAAGAAAACGTAGATGAGGAAGTTGCAAAGAACAGAAACCAAACCAAAAAACCACATCACCAAAAGCAGGAAGGGACACAGATCAATCTGACAGCACTGCAAATTTTTGCAAAGAGGATAAAAACAGTGGAAACAAACCAACAACCACCCTCCAAAATAACCAATTAAGGGCAGAGGGAAGGAATTGGAAAAGCGACAGTTAGCCAGGCTGGACGCATCGAGCTAGTGCCGGGATCCTACCTTGAACAGGTCTCGAAGATAGTGATGCATCTGTTAAAGAGAGAACCACCATTGCAAGAAATCCAACATGACTGTCCACCTCGGGCTCTGTCCCGCATCACAATCAGGGAGCTCAGAGCGACGGTGTCCTCGGCTTGCTATGAAAGAATCTGCGACCCTGGGGCTCGGTGGAATCTCCTGAAAAGCAGTCATGTTGGGCAAGCAGTCCAAGAGGCGGTTTGCACACCATGACTTAGCTTCCTCTCAGGACAATCCCCCCCCCCGCCACCCCCTCCCATGCATTAAGTCTGAGGGATGCCAAGGACCCTGCCGCGGGCATCGGCTGTGGAGGCCCGGCCCTGCTGCCAATGAAGCCCCTGTCCACAACCCTCACCCAAGCAATAAAGGGCCACACAGATGCTGCTGTGTGCACAGCGTCTCTGTGCCTGCATGCTAGAAAGACGGCTGCCCATGGATTAAGGGGGCCCGGAAGGTGAAGTGCATTTAGAAAAGTGCCCACGTTCAAAACATTTCAGGAACACTGCCTCATATCCACAGCACAGAGCACGTTTTAGGAGTTCTCATGCAGTGAGGACTGAGCCCAGCCTTGAAACGCGATCCTAGGCACAGCGGCTTTTGTCCAAGCCCCGTTTCAGCAAAGCATACTCTGCCCAGGATTGCACTGCTCGGCTGACTCAACACACAGGCTCAGCGCGCATGCCACAGGAAGAACGCAACACGAAAAATTCTTCTGAAAAAGGCAGGGATTTTGTGGCAGGCGGTGTGGGGTCCCTGGCAGGCAGGCCGGTGAAGGCAGGACACCCTGAAGACCGGAAGAGGGAAATCCATTGAGGGACTGTGAATTTTGCAGGGAGAAAAGCAAGGAGGAGCGAGTGTCCGGGTTGCGGGTCCAGTTGCAAACTTTTCTTTCCTGTGCACTTAAGAACATCAGAGAAGCCAGGCTGGATCAGGCCAAGGGCCTGTCTAGTCCCATCACTCTGTGTCCCGCAGCAGCCAAAACCCAGGTGCCACCAGGAGGTCCACCAGCGGGGCAAGAACCAGTGTTCCCTCTAAGCTGAGTCAGTGTGAGCCAGTGCACAGTTTTTTAGCCTCCGGCTCACACATTTTCGTCTCCACTCAGGAAGGAGGGCTCCAGGGCAAACTAATTGATGCAGGAGTCAAATCGCTCGCTCACAATTTTCATGCCAGTAGCTCACAGAGTAGAATTTTTGCTCACAAGACTCCATAGGTTAGAGGGAGCACTGGCCAGAGCTCCAGAAGCCCTCCCACTGTTGCCCCCCCAAGCACCAAGAACACAGAGCATCCCTGCCCCAGACAGAGTGTACCATCGATGCACTGTGGCTGATAGCGACTCATGGACCTCTTCCCTCTTCCCCAGTGGGGTCCCCGGAAGAGAAACATACATCCCGGTGCTCCTGGTTCAAGGCAGCAGAGAAAGGAGGAGGATACGGATTTATGGGGTGCTGCAAATCCTCGCCCATCCATCTCCTTTTGGGCACCCTTTGGAAACAGTCTCCCCCAGGCTAGCCTAAACTCAGTCCAGCCTTCTCTTCCCAGTCGTCCCCCCCCCATATGATACAATTCCTCTCTTGGTCCGCCAGAAGGGAATTGGGGACAGACAGTACATCAAAGGGTGGACTCCGGGGATCAGAATGGGGCAGCAGCCGGCACAAGGAAGGATCCCAAGCTGTGGGGAAGCAGCACGGTGAGAGCATCTCCGAAGGCCCTGAACCGGACCATGCGCTTACCAGAAGGGACTGCTTGCTTGGCTTTCTTGGCAGGAGCCAGATCGTCGGGCCGGCACTCAGAAAAAGACGCTGTCCTGCTGGGCGCCGGAGTCTGGAAGAGAGCAGAGACTGGGGTCAACGCGTGCAATAAGGTCCGGTGGCTTGCCCCCCCCCCATAATGGCAGGAATTCTGAACAAATGCTGCACATTCATTTATTTACTTACAGCCCTTCCTTCCTGCGAGCAGGCTTCAGGGCGGGTAACAACATCCGAACAATCAGGGGTCATTTCCTAGAAAAAGAGGCGCAGGCGCTCATTTGCATAACTCATTTGCATATGCCACACCCCTTGACAAAGGGCAGGCGTGTTTAAAATGAGTTAAGGCATATGCAAATGAGTTTAGATCCCACAAAAGCGGAGAGGCTCAGGGGAAATGGAGGGCACGTCTGCCCGTCTCCCCTTCCCTCTCCAGCCAACCCACCGCGGCAAGCTGGCTGGAGAGGGGAATGGGAGGTGGGCAGACATGTCTGGCTGCCATGGCCAAAGATCAGGCAGGGAAGCCAGCAGGCATTTAAATCCCCCCCCCCTCGTGCTCCGGGGCACTCCGGCAGGAAATGACCCCTGCCAACAATACAGAAGTATAATCAGGGCTTTTTTTGTAGAAAAAGCCCAGCAGGAACTCATTAGCATAATAGGCCACACCCAACAGCACGAACTCATTAGCATATTGGGCCCCACCCCTGACAGCACAGCTCATTAGCACATTAGGCCGCACCCCCATGTTACCAGAACTGTGGTTATCCAGCCACACCCACCTTTTGCTTGTTATTCTGTTTACCTTGTTTGTTGTCAAAACCCAGGACTTTTTTTGGAGCAGGAACTCCTTTGCATGTTAGGCCACACACCCCTAATGTAGCCAATCCTACTGAGTTTCTGCTGTTGGGTGTGGCCTATTATGCTAATGAGTTCCTGCTGGGCGTGGCCAACTTGGGAGCCAGCTGGAACTCCGTTCCTGTGCGTTCCTGCCCAAAAATAGCCCTGAATATAATTAAAAATGTAAAACACCGTAGTATACATTAAAATGGTGTCATGGCCCGAGAATAGAACTGGCTGGTTGTGTGAGATTCCCTGGCCGGTAGAGAACGAATGAGCGATAGCCAGCTGTTAATAGATGGGTGACAAGAGACCTCAGGGAGGACATACATGGACGCCCGCTGCCCCAGCCCAAGGCCTGGCGGAACAGATCCGCCTTACGGGCCCTCTGGAATTGAAGGAGATCACGCAGGGCCCCTGATCTCAGTGGGGGGCACGTTCCACCAGGCCAGGCCGGGGACAGGGCAGAAAAAGGCCTGGCCCTCATTGAGGCAAGATGGACGTCTTTTCGGCCAGGGACCACCAGGAGGTGTTGGTCAAAGGAGCATAAAGCTCTTCGAGGCGTACATGGAAAGAAGCGGTCCCTCAGATATGTTGCTCCCAAGGCTGTATAAGGCTTTAAAGCAGGGGTGTCAAACTCATTTGTTATGAGAGCCGGATCTGACATAAATGAGACCTTGCTGGGGCGGGCCATGTGTGTCATAAAATGTCACACCAGGTAGCAGAGATATAAACTTTATAAAGGACACAAACACAAAGATTTATTTTTTTACTTAAAAAACATGCTTAAAACATTAACACTCTTGAAATATTTTATTTAACAGTATCTGATAACGGACACCTTTCGTTCTGAATTATTGCATCTTGCAATCTTGAGTATGCTGTTCAAGTGTGTATCTGTAAGCCGCAAACCTATTTTTGATTTATCGACATTCGCCACAGAAATCTCACGCTCAGAGTTCTGAGTCTAGGACCCAGGTTAAAAACATTAAATGGCTGAGTGATTAAGAGAGTCTGGCGAAGCAAAGCTATGATACAGCAGCAGCAGCAGAACTGGAAGCAGGAGATGGCCAGTTCCACTGCGGGCCTGATGGAAGCCCTCTGGGGGCCTGATCTGGCCCCCGGGCCGCATGTTTGACACCCCTGCTTTAAAGGTTATTACCAACACCTTGAAGTGGATCCAGAACTCCACCGCCAGCCAATGCAGTTGGTGGAGCACCTGTTGAACGCAAGCCCGCACAGGCATCACCGTCAGCAGCTGCGCCACCACATTTATGAGGAAATGCCTTGCTGCTGCATCGCTCTCTCAAATAAGAATGGGTCCAAGGTGAGCAGCTGTGTTGGCCTGAAGCGGCAGAACAAAGCCCGAGTCCAGTGGCACCTTTAAGACGAACCGAATTTTCTTCTGGGTGTAAGCTTTGGTGTGCAAGGCACACTTCTTCAAATAAGGATGTGAACATACCTAGGACGGGAACACTGAAACGCCATTTTTAAAAATCAAGTCTTCTACACCCAATATAGGACTATGCAAAATTTTACCTAGATTCTGCTGTGCTTCTGCTAATCCGAGGAGGTGCAAAAGCTATTTATGCCACACAGAGATCTTCCGGGAATCTGGGGTTCCCAGGGCAATCACAGGGTTCCTGCTAGGCTTCTCCTAGCCTCACCTTCTCCCCGAGACGCAAACGTCCTTCTACATGGGGAGACATTCAGGTGCAGAAGTCCTCACCTTCACGGCGAAGTAGCACAGCGCAGCAGACTCAAGGCTCACGGCCAACATTGTGCAGACCTGAAACAGGGACCTACCGAGGAGCTGCCGCTGGCGTTAAGGAGAAAGTTCGCCGTGTGAGCCGCAGCGGGGGGCTGATTTGGGATGGGCCGGTGTCCCAGGGCCATGCCGACAATGGCAGTCATGTGGGTCTCGGTGCCAAAGACGTGGATTGGGATGCCGGTTGTTTTCCCTTCAAATGGAACAGAAGCAGGTTAGGTCGTTGCCCACCTGGGAAAGCGCACTCTGGGGATCAGGTGGGTAAGAAGCCCCCCTCCCCCCCGGGCACTGATGACATCCCTAGTAAGCCCTGAAAGGCAGTTGACTGGACGGGGAAAGGCACTTTTTAGTTATTTGTTTTAAATCATGCCCCTTCGTGCATTTTTCGGTAATCCTCCTCTATTTTGGAGACAAGTTTTATTTCATAAGGTACGAAAAGCAAATTAGCTGCTGCAGATCTTCCGGATTGTATGGCCGTGGTCTTGGCATTGTATACAAAAGAACCTCCTCAGGAAAGCGCCTCCATTAGCATGCTTCACAGCCTGAGGAACGCCTACAAGAGAATGACCCGGCCCTACCCCACCTTCCTGAGTAGATAGAAATTACCTGCCTACCATTTTTCTTCTTACCTTGACACAGAGAGTACTCTGCTTTTCTGCGCTATACCTCTGAGGATGCCAATCACAGCTACTGGCGAAACATCAGGTCCTACACTGCCAAGACCACGGCGATATAACCCGGAAAATCTGCAACAGCTAATGAACTCCAGCCGTGAAAGCCTTTGACAGCGTATAAAAAGCAAAGTTTTAAAGAAAAGAGAACCTATCGCCACTAACGGCTCAGACTCCACAATGATGTTTAATATATACCTAAGAATGTAGGAAATACGATTATAGTCCTGTACATATAACACATAAAGTGTCAATTCTAGGGTTGTCAACCTCCAGGGAGCACCTGGAGATCTCCCACTATTACACCTGACCTCCAGACAACCAAGATCAGTTCTCCCTGGAGGAACATGGCTTCTTTGGGGGGGGGTGGGGCCGGACTCCGCGGCATTAAACCTAGTTTAGTTCCCAAACCTCGCCCTGCCCACACTCCACCTCCAAAATCTCCAGGTATTTCCCAACCTACAGAAAGAGGGGGGGGGGGAGTCCCATTCTATGTCCATGACAGAGTTCCCCAGCCTGACCCCAGTGCCTGGATTCACGGACAGGTAAACTACAGCTCAGCACATCAGTTTTCGAGGGGCCTCTAAAGAAAAAGGTAGTGCCTTGAGGCCTCTTAAATCTGACATAGCCTATGGCAGTGGTGGCGAACCTGTGGCACGGGTGCCAGAGGTGGCACTCAGAGCCCTCTCTGTGGGCATGCGTGCCGTCGCCCCAGCCAGGCCCAGACCATCATTAAAGTGTCGAATTCTCTGCCAAACAATTTTAAGCAAATGAAAGCATTTGGGATTGCTTTCCTTACTTTGTTTGGATCATCTTAAGTTAATGTATGAGTTGTTTTTTCTAAAGTAAAACCTCAATATTCAGGTTAAATTGCCGTGTTGGCACTTTGCGATAAATAAGTGGTCACTGGCTTATGGCCTCAGCATGTCTTAATCTGGTCCTGCCTGGTCCACACGTTTGCCTTATGTGGGCACAGCAGCTACTTGAGAGCCGGTTTTGGTGTCGTGGTTAGGAGCGCGGGCTTGAATCTGGGAGAACTGGGTTTGATTCCCCCAGTCCTCCACATGTAGCTGCGGGGGGACCCTGGACAAGCCACAGTTCTCTCAGAGCTGTTCCCTCCAGGCTCAAGCCAAATCTTTCCCTTCCCTCATTTGTAGGGTGGATGAAGGGGAAAGCTAGCCCAGACATTTATGCCCTGGCCGGTAACTGGCATTTAAATCACAGCAAAGGACACTTTGAGCACGCAGCTTGCCAGAGGCACAAAAGAGGAGCAAGACACTTAAGAGCAACTGTTGCCGCTCACACTGAGGGGTGTGAGGGGTGCCTTAGATCCCCTGTGCAAAGAGGGATCTATGCACACAGGTGAGTGCCTGGGCTTTAGGGCCATTCCAGTGGCCAGAGGGGAAGTCCCAGCTCCTAGGATAGACAATAACCTGCCCATTCGCTGCCCTTACTTTAAGGGAGCCAAACAGAAAAGCAGAAAAACCAGGTTAACAGAAAAAACTATGAACCAAATAGGGCTAAGCTAAACCATATATATAAAAAAGTACAAATATTTATTAAGGTGTACACGTGTTAAAACCTTCCTGCTTAAAAATTGCTTTGTTTAAGATCAGACTGTAAAAGCTTGTCAACTATACATACAAATGATGGGTAAAAACTTTATCATCTTAAACGCGTTTCAGGAAAGTTTTAACACGTGTACACCTTAATAAATATTTGTACTTTTTTATATATATGGTTTAGCTTAGCCCTATTTGGTTCATAGTCATATCCTGGGTTGAGTCCCCCCCCCTTTTTCCAGTTTTTAACAGAAAAAACAAACACAATACACAGGAGCAAAACCAACGGAGATTAAAAAATGGTTAAAATGGCCCTTCGGGGCATCCTTACCTACTTCCCCCATGACACGCAGGCCTTCCTGGTAGTTTGGGCCCCCTCTCCTTACGAAGATCCGCACCTCATGCTCTTTCAGAGGGCCCTGGTAATCCTTAATGGCTCTAACAATCCCCTGTAAGAAGATTGGGGGGGGGGGAGACCTGTGTCTAATGTGCAAAGATATTTCTTTCGTACCATATTTCAGCCCCGCCCCCCTTTTACATTTACAAATCAACTTAATCCACTTTGTAATGGTCACGGTTCTTTTGCCGTCCATGCCAGTAAGAGAAGAAGAAGAGGAGAAAGGATTTGATTTATACCCCACCCTTCACTACCCGAAGGAGTCTCAGAGTGGCTTACAATCTCCTTTCCCTTCCCCTCCCCACAACGGACGCCCTGTGAGGTAGGTGGGGCTCAGAGAGCTCTGAGAGAACTGCTCTGACAGAACTATGGCTTGCCCAAGGTCATCCAGCAGCTGCAAGTGGAGGAGTGGGGAGTCAAACCCGGTTCTCCCAGACTAGAGTCCGCGCACTTGACCACTACACCAACTGAGGACTGGAATGGCCAACAGAATTCTCTCTACTTTCACAAAGTGACAATTCTTCAGGTACTGCTGCAGGACACTATAGCAGCCACCGTGGTTTACTTGGTCATACAAATATGCTCTTAGGAATTTTCAAATCCCTGTGAAACCACAAAGGACAGTTGAACACTTGGGGTGGAGTCAGACTACCAGAAGACTTCTGGTAATGTTTTGCGTGGATGATTGCTGCACTCCCAGCAGGGAGCCTGCTGTCTTGCCCATGACCACACAGGTTCAAACGAGCATGGCTAACTGTAACCTCAAAGGTCCACAACAAGTATTTGGGAAGGGGATGCCAGTCTTCGACAAGCTTCTTTCGCATACCCGGTGGCCACTGTCTGTCTGCATCAACTACACACCTCCACTTTCCAGTCGGTAAAATGGACCCGCAGCCATAGCAAAACTGCATGTCTTGCACAGCGTCACAAGCCACAACCCTCTCCGTTTCTCCAGTTTTGCAATGGGGATGGGCACACCTTGCTCAATATTCCAGCACCTCGCCCTTCTGTCCTTCCCAGTTTTTCAGCCAGGAATATTCAAGGTAAGAGCCAGCCATTGGAGTGCTGTACTGCTTTAAATTAAAATGTGGAATTTGCTGCCTGAGGGTGTAGTGATGGCCACAGGAATAGCCAGCTTTAAAAGGGGATTAGATAGATCCATGGAGGATAAGTGTATCAGTGGCAACTAGCCATGGTGACCGAGGGGAACCTCCACATTCAGAGGCACTAAGCCTCTGAAAACCCAGAGCCAGGAGGCAACATCAGGGGAAGGCCTCGGCCTCTATGCCCTGTTTCTGGCCACTATGTGAGAGAGGATGCTGGACTAGATGGACCACTGGTCTGATCCAGCAGGGCTCTTCTTACGTTCTTATGTCAAGGAACCCGTAACCCTTCACTGGCCAGCACCGGCCATGAAATATCCAGTGTCCATCATAAAGCCCTTCCTGGTCAAAACTAGCATAGGATTTTCACCTCCCTGGATGTAGCCAGCACAGGCACAGATGATCGGCAGTCAATTCGATGCCATTCTGGCCCAAGTGTAAATTCAGACTCATTCAGACATTCCTTCCAAGACTGGTGGCCACCAGTGTTCTCTCTAAGCTGAGTTAGTGGTGAGCTAGCTCACAGTTTTTTAGCCTCCCGCTCACAGATTTTTGTCTTAGCTCAGGAAGGAAGGCTCCAGAGCAAGCTAATTTATGCAGCAGCCAAATCACTCGCTCACAACTTTAATGCCAATCGCTCACAAAGTGGAATTTTTGCTCACAAGACTCCATAGCTTAGAGGGAACATTGGTGGCCACACTATTTCCTAAAGTCAGCTTTACCTTAAATGTGGCGGCTACGTTGGTGAAATTAGCAATGCTCCCTCCGATGATCAGGATTTTGCCTATCAGAGGTAAAGGAAAGGTGGGGGGGAGAGGGAGGGGGACGGTGTTATAAGAAACATCACAGTAACCGCAGGCACTTCAGGAACTGCTGAGAGGCAGAAGGACCAGCCAATACAACAGGGGCTCATTTGAGAGAATTGGTTGTCCGAACCAACCCTGAAATGCACATGAAAACACATGAAGCTGCCTTATACTGAATCAGCAAAGTCAGTATTGTTTACTCAGACTGGCGGCAGCTTTCCACGGTCTCAGACTGAGCCCTTTCGCATCACCTACTGCCTGGTCCTGGTGATACCAGGGATTGAACCTGGGACCTTCTACATGCAAAGCAGAGGCTGTACCACTGAGACACGGCCTTTCCCTAAAAAAGGCTGGGCCCCTTAATCTACTGAGACTAGGGGTGGCTCTCTGAGGTCTCAGGCAGAGGTCTTCCACATCACTTACTGCCTGGTCTTTTTAACTGGTGATAACCAGGGATTGAACCTGGGACCTTCTACATGCAAAGCAGAGGCTGTACCACTGAGACACGGCCTTTCCCTAAAAAAGACTGGGCCCCTGATCTACTGAGACTAGAGGTGGCTCTCTGAGGTCTCAGGCTGAGGTCTTCCACAGACCTACTTCCTGGTCCTTTTAACTGGAAATGGTGCTGGGGATTGAACCTGGGACCTTCTACATGCAAGGCAGAGGCTCTTCCACTGAGCCATAGCCTCTTCCCTATCCAGATATCTGGGGGAAACCCACTCTATGGTTTGCACGAAGCCTAGCAAGCAACTACTACCACGAGACTCAGCACTGGCAAGAGGGCAGAGGCAGGGCCGTTCTGAACCCCAAGGTCTGCAGTTGTCTCCTCTGCCTGAACAGCCTCCTTTACCTTCGGGATGTTTTTCCTGTGTCATGAGGGAGAGGATTGTTTTGGCATAGTCGTAGGTCTGCTGCTCACTGGGAGCGCCGGAGTATTCGCCGTAGTTTGCCAATTCGTCTACCCCGCCAAGGTCACAGATGGTGTCACTGTGGAAAAAAGTCCACAAGTGGTATTAGAGAGCTTAATTAGAAGAACAGACGATGCTCATTCACAAAACCCAGAAGAGGAATGAGGAAGCATTTCAAGCCAGTGCAGGCTGAATAATACAGCAGAGGCAAAGAGAACTGCTGAGGCCCAGCCAATCATGAGCATTTCCCTACGGTCACCTCGAGGTTAGTCTATGACGGTCACCTCGAGGCTAGACTACTGTAACGCTCTCTACATGGGGCTGCCTTTGTCACAAATTCGTAGGCTGCAGCTGGTGCAGAATGCGGCGGCCAGGTTGTTGGTGGGTGCCCCTAAATGGGAACACATCCAACCTGTGCTGAAGGCGCTGCACTGGCTGTCTATAGCGTACAGGATTTGCTTCAAAGTGCTGGTGCTCATCTTTAAAGCCCTACATGGCCAGGGTCCGACATACCTGAGGGACCGCCTTTCCCCATATAGGCCCCAAAGAGCACTTCGGTCGGGGTCACAGCACCGTTTAGTGACCCCGGGCCCTAAAGAGGCCAGGCTAGCTACCACGAGGGCCAGGTCCTTTTCGGTGGCAGCCCCTATCTAGTGGAATGAGCTCCCAGAGGAGATCAGAGCTCTGCGGGACCTTTTACAGTTCCGCAGAGCCTGCAAGACGGAACTCTTCCGCCAGACTTTTGAGTAGGGGCCGCCGCCGCCACTACCACCACCACATAACTGCGGAGCAGGACCGTCGGGATGGGCTGATGAGTAATTGGAACATCATGGCTCATGACGTCCCCCTTCTGACTTTTGACCTCTGACCTCCTCCTGATATGCAATGGAGAGTGCGCAATTTTAGTCCTTCATGTATCCTGTGAGTTGTCAATGTTTTTAGCTTCTGTTGTTTTAATTTATCTGTTTTATAGCACTTTGTGCCTTGTAAGCTGCCCTAAGCCTGCGTGCGGGGAGGGCGGGATAAAAATGGAAATAAATAAATAAATAAATAAATACAGGAAGCAACACATAAGTACTCCATAGGTACAACACAAGTAATCTGTGAGACTGTTTCTCCCCCCTTTGCTTTACCACATCAGCTTCGCTCATCTGAGCAGGGCCTTCTGCAGCTGCCAACCTGCAAATCTTTATTTTATTTTTTAATTTATTATTGTATTTCTATCCCACCCTCCCCGCGAACGGGCTCAAATGGGCAGAATCAACAACTGCCCGTACACGTCCCTTCTCTGTTGTGGCACCCACCTTGTGGAACGGTCTACCTGAGGAAAGCGGGAAAGCTCTCTGTGGCTTTCCGAAAACTATGCTAAAATGATTGTTCCACAATTAGAAAAGATGCATTTACACATTCATCCCCTATTTTGACATATTTATTACTTTGCCGTCCTTTCCCCCCCTTAAGTAAATCAAAACATCTGTTGACCTTATAACCTTAGCGTGTTTAGTTTGGTCTCCACATATCTTAAAACGTCTTTATCGTGTTACATGTTAATTTGCTGTTCAGCCTCTTGTCTATAAGTTTGAACTCTACCTTCCATTCCCATGTATTTGAAAAAGTGTGCGTGCACACAAAAGCTCATACCTTGAATGAACCTTTGTTGGTCTTAAAGGTGCCAGGGGACTCTACACTTGTTCTATGCTAAACTGAATTATTCAAGAGACCTTTCCTGTGCAGATAATAGGGTCTCACTGTACAAAAAGATTCACGAAGCTACTTGGATAAATAATTAGGGACTGTGGTCTATACCACTGTGTACAGTTTGCTGTAAGGCGGATCCTACTATGTAAGTTTGCTTTACTTAATGTGTCATGTAAATTATTTGCTTCAGTTCTGTTTGTATGTTTCTGGGTTGGTTCTACAGCCCAAATCCTATTTCATTGTTTCCTGAGTGTTCCCGCCTATTGAATTTATTGACTCAGGACTTTTCTGTGTCTGTATTTAGCCGTCGTTTCAGAGCGCATCCTTTTCTTCCCTTCTGCATTCCATCCCGCTTTCACTTCAGGTTTGTTGCCGGGCGGGGTGTGTGTGTGTTTCTGCGCCTGTTTCACAGGAATCGGTAGTCAGACCCCGTTCAGCACGCTCTTGCCCCACATTACTCAAAAGTTGTTCTGCTGCGCTTCTTAGTTCTGATCTGATTTCAAAACGGTAAGTCGAAGTGTCCCCGCATGCCTTTAAGCACCGTCCACTTTCCTCCACTATTTCTGCCCTCTGCCTGTTTGCGGGATGAGTATAAGTGCTTCAGTGATAATAGTAGAACAGGAGGTGGCGCTATCCTACCCTTCACTTGCTTACTATATATGTCATTTAATGCCATGAACTCTCCCACCCAATTCTCCCCCTGTTTGTTTTTTGAATCTAAGAGTGATGAACACATGGAATTCACTGCCACAGGAGGTGGTGGCGGCTACAAGCATGGACGGCTTCAAGAGAGAATTGGATAAGCATACGGAGCAGAGGTCCATCAGTGGCTATTAGCCACAAGGTATAGAGAGGAACTCTCAGACTGGGGCGAGTGATGTTCTGTATTCTTGGTGCTTGGAGGGGGGGGCAACAGTGGGAGGGCTTCTAGTCTCCTGGCCCCACTGCTGGACCTCCTCATATCACCTGGTATTTCTGGCCACTGTGTGACACAGAGTGTTGGACTGGATGGGCCATTGGCCTGACCCAACATTTGGCTTCTCTGATGTTCTTATGCAAGGGATGCTCTGTATTCTTGGTGCGGGGGGGGGGGGGGGGACAACAGTGGGAGGGCTTCTAGTGTCCTGGCCCCATCACGTTGTCCCTGCTTCTTTTACACAATTATGAAGGCTTAGATCAGGGATGGCCAAACTGCGGCTCAGGAGCTACATGCGACTTTTTCACACATACCCTGTGGTAGCAGCAGGGTAATGGGTTGGCCCAGTATAAAGATCTTGCAACAGTACTGCGATGAGTCGAAGCTGTTGATGCGGGCTTTTGGGTACATTTACAGGTCACCATCTCGATTTGACTAAACTGATAACATCTTTGAGCACTTTATTATTGTTAATAATGGTTGTTTTTATGTGTGATTTTATTGTTTTATTGGCACATGCTGCCCTTATTTGTAAGCCGCCCTGAGCCCGTCCGCAGGGAGGGCGGGATATAAGTGTAATGATAAATAAATAAATATAAATATATTGTGTGGCTCCCGGCAGGGCGGCTGCGGAAGCGAAGGGGAGGCATGCCTCCCTGGTTGGTCTTCCCTTCCCCAGCCAGTGTTCCTCTCCCTGGGTAGGAATGAGATGGGAGGGAGGGAGCGGGGGGTGGGTGGGGGAAGGGGTTGGAGGACACATTTAACGTTAAAGTTGCTTTCTTTCCACCTCTCCCTCACTCCCTCCCCCATCTATTCCCCCCAGAATTTGCTTTGTTTCTTTCTCTGTTTCATTCTTTCCACCTTTTATTCTTTCTTTCCACCTCTCTCTCTTTCTCTCTCTCTCAGACAACTAAATATCACTAACAAACAAATATCATTGGACAAATAAATATCATTATCAATCTGTTTTTACCCCTTTTGTTTTTATTTTTGGCAGTCTCATTTTAATGTTAATAAAAAGCAAGTTTGCATATTTTTCAATAAAAACGCGAGTGTAATAATTGTCCATGTCTTGCAGCTCTCGAGCATCTGATGTTTACTCTATGTGGCTCTTAAGTCAAGAAAGTTTGGCCACCCCTGGCTTAGATAGAAACTCACAATATTTGCCAGTCATTTGATGAAGCAACAGCAGAGCGACTATCCTTCTTTGATGATTACCCTGCCATTTCCCCTAATGGCGACCCAAAGCAGCTTCTGTTGTTCTCTTGTCCTCCACTTTATCCTCACAACAACCTTGTGAGGTAAGTCTGGCTGAGTGTGTGGACTGGCCCAAGGTCACCCGCCAGCCTTTCACGGCAAACTGCTATAGTGCATTATCCCCCGTGTGTGAATTTAGGGCTTCCCATGAAGCCTGTCCAGAAACTGGAGATACATGGTTTTGGATTAGACACACATGATAGGTTGCTTGATAGCTCTCTGATTACATTTATTTATTTATATTTATTTATTTTTAGATTTATATCTCGCCCTTCCAAACGGCTCAGGGCAGCTAACATATGGCGAAAGTCGGAGTAAATACATAAAATACAATAAAACAGCGTTAAAACAACCACAATAAAACCCATACAACATTTAAGGTGCTCTGATGTCATCCTATATATAAATCACCCAAGATGGGAACAATAATCCCAATTCGACGGCCAGCTGTCTCAATAGCGCGGTCTCCAGCGACGATTATCTACGCGCTTCTGCCAGGCGATGCTTACCTCCCATAATAGGGGCAGACGATGGAGCAACACCACAGTGGTGGAATAGTGGCGGCGGCGGCTCCTACTCAAAAGCCTGGCGGAAGAGCTCCGTCTTGCAGGCCCTGCGGAACTGCACAAGGTCCCACAGGGCCTGGATCTCCTCCAGGAGCTCGTTCCACCAGGTAGGAGCCACCACCGAAAACGCCCTGGCCCTAGTAGGGGCAAACTTAATGTCTCGGGGGCCTGGAACTTCCAGGAGATGGA